TGGGGTGGGCAGTCAGGCTCGCGGAGCGGTCTGTCCCTTCCACAGCCCCTCCAGGTCCAGTCTCTGGCACTGGGAGCCCGGCACTCTAAGCTCATCCTGGCAGGGCTGAGACCAGCAGCCCGCCTCCCCAGGTGACCCAGGAGTGGGCCTGGGTCAGGCGCCCCTAACCACGCTCCCCACTTCCTCCTCTCTCCCTTCCCCTGACACAGTGTGGGCGGCAACCTCTGAGCATAGGTCCAAATCTCTGCTCTGCACCCAGGAAGAGAATCTCTCCAGGCCTCTGTTTGGTCGTTTGTAAGTGGGTGTGACACTCCCCATGCTGCAGGGGCTGCTGTGGCCACAGATGGGGTGGGGTACAGGCAGAAATTTCCAGCACAGAAGAGGTGCTCAGTCCAAACCGGTTTTTCTCTCTCCATTCCCTCTTCTGCCCCAGGGGGATAAGAGGTGGGACTGGCAGAAGTGGGGGTGAGAGGGCACAGGCTGGCAAGGTAGAAAATGACCTGTCCCAGGCACTTAAAATGTTGCCTATTCCAAAATCAAACTCTCAAATCCCTCTATAGCCAGCAGTGAAGTCTCCTAAGACTAGGCTGGTTAAGGCTCCCAAGACCCCACAGCCAGCCTGGGCAACACAGTGAGACCCCATCTCTACCGAAAAAAACAAAAAAACAAAATTAGCTTGGCATGGTGGCATGTGCCTGTAGTCCCAGCTACTCAGGAGGCTGAGATGAGCCGATCACTTGGATCCAGGAGATCAAGGCTGCAAGGCTGCAGTGACTGTCTCAAAAAAAAAAAAGATCCCACAGCCCATTAATGGCAACACTGGGGAGGAGGCCTCACAGCCAAGCCCGCAAATCAAAGCTCAAAGCCCACTGCCTCCTAGAAGCCAGCCTAGATATTATCCCCATTTTGCAGACAAGTAAACTGAGGTACACAGTAGTTAAGTCATATGCCTGAGATCACACAGCTAGTGAGCATCTGGATGGATTTCTTTTGACAATTCAGGCTGTTAACAAAAGCTGTTCGTTATGGCACAAGCACTCCCTAACAATCTGTGATTTTGACTCTGCATCCAGAGTCAGGTCCAAGTTCTTTAGCCTGAAACGCAAGGCCTCCCCGCAAGGTGGTATATATACAGCAGCAGAAAATAGCACTAGACCTCGAGTCAAATGCCAGGCCTGCCACTCACATCCTGCTGTGTACCCACAGCAACTTACCAGGCCTCCCTGGCCTCACTGTCCTCTTGTGTAAAATGGGAATAACAAGACTAACCTCCCAGGGTGGCTGGTGGGGTTACCTACCCATGCAGTCCCACAATTTTATTGAACATCTACTATGTGCCAGGCCCCACTCAAGGTACTTGAGATAGAGCAGAGAACAAGACAAAAAAAAAAAAAAAAAAAGCTGCCTTCAGGGCGTTGATACTCAATAGCAGTGGGAGGGCAGAGAGTAAGCAAGCAAATAAAACAGCATCGAGTTGTGTTAAGGGTTTTAAGAAACCAGAGGGAGGAGGCCAAGGGCAAAGAACAGGGTGGTCAGGGAGGACTTCCCTGAGGAGGTGACAGTTAACTAGAACAGGAGACAGCCATGCACTGAGCCAGGGGAGCGGCAGTGAGCACGGAAGGAACAGCAAGGCCAAAGGCCAGTGAATCAAATGAGAGCTAGAGCCTGTGGGGAAATGCCTGGCACATAGTAGATGCTCAATAAACCGCAGCTGTGAGCATTATTACTCTAAACCCCACAAACCCCTTGTTCCTTGCCTTCCTCTTCTGGAAGCCAGGTTGCGATGCAGCTTGAAGTGCATCCTAGGTCTCTTCCACATTCCTTTATTCATTTAAAGTAACTCTGCTTCTATTAATAGTCCTCCCATTTTGCGGGTCAGAAAATTGAGGTTCCCAAGATCCTATAACCTATAAACAACAGCATCAAGACATGAACCTAACTCTAGTGGTCTCAAACCCCATGCTCCTGGCAGCCTTGGGCAGTCTCACCTACAAAGGGCGCTCACTACATTCCCCCTTCCCATCCCAAGACAGCTCAGCCTGTCAGAATATCTCTAGCATGAACCAAGGTCTGAGCCTGCCCTTTGAGGCCCACCAGGACAGCCCTCTCTCCTCTTTCCCAGGTCACCCTGAAATGTTAGCAGCTGCCACCCAGATTATCTCCCAGTGCCAACACTGTGCCTTACTTTGTCCCCTGGCTTTGCTCTGGCAAGGTGAAGTAGGGATTCTTATCATCCCCATTGTACAGGTGAAGAAACTGAGGCCCAGAAAGGTGGAGAAACATGCCCAACGGCAGCTGTCAGGAAAGTGGCAGTGCTGGCATCTGAACGCAGGCCTTTGTCACTTGAAAGACAGTCACCTGTCACTTCCCAGGCCTCTCAAATGGCCTTCTTTGGGCATCACCCTCAGTCCTTTGCCTGGCCTGTCCCCCTGGTGATGCCCAAATGGTAGACAGGACAGGCTTCCCCCGACTCGGTTATTCTCAGGGCACCACCAGTCACATGCCTGGCATGCTGTGGCCTAGGCCAGGGCTGGCTGAGCAGCTCAGAGCACTCAAGTCCCACAAAGGAGACCAGTGGCCAGGGGCTCAGGCAACGCCTGGGGGACAGGGCTCGCCTGATGAAAGTGCACACACAGGCCCTGGGGCAGGCTGGAAAGGAGTACCAGACAGGGAGCCTGCCACACCCGGCTCCATCCTGGCTCAGCCACCGGGACACTATGTGTCTGTCAGGAGGCTCTCTGCCTCTCCGGCCCCGTTCCTGTTACCATGAACTCAGGACCATACTCCCACCACTAAGGGTCATGGGGAAAGGTACAATGCCACAGAACTCTAGTGAGATCTGGCTTCCCCGCGCGCGTCAGGAAATCATTTTAAAACGATTTTTGAAAGTAATGATGGTAGGCCGGGTGCGGTGGCTCACACCTGTAATCCCAGCACTCTGGGAGGCCGAGGCGGGCGGATCACAAGGTCAGGAGATCAAAACCATCCTGGCTAACACTGTGAAACTCCATCTCTACTAAAAATACAAAAAATTAGCCGGGCATGGTGGCACGTGCCTGTAGTCCCAGTTACTCAGGAGGCTGAAGCAGGAGAATCACTTGAACCTGGGAGACGGAGGTTGCAGTGAGCCGAGATCATGCCACTGCACTCCAGCCTGGGCAACACAGCGAGACTCCGTCTCAAAAAACAAAAAACAAAAAAAGGAATAATGATGGTGGTAGTGGTGGTTCCCAGTTACTGAGAGTCTGTTACATACCAGGAGCCACACAAAGGGTATCACATCCAGGAGCCCAAGTAACAGCCACCCTAGGAGGCATGTGCCTCATCTCCATTTCACAGAGGGGGAAACTGAGGCAAGAGGTCCCCCACCGTAAAAACCAGAGCCAGGTTGCAAACCCAGAACTTGCTGTTCTCCTATGCAGCTTCCTGTTGTTAGTATTTGAATGAAATGCTGCTTCAGGAGAACCCCTGGGGACTGGGGGGAGAGAGAGGACTCAACGGGATCAGACAGACAGGCTCAGGGAAGGAGTTAGGCCTGCTGTGTCCGGCACTCAGGGAGGGAGACGCTCCCCAGAATGTGCCTGCTGGGTGACCTTGGGCAAGTCACTTCCCCTGTCTGATTCCTCAAAGGCAGGTACCAATGTGGTCCCCCCAGAGAACGGCACTGGGTCAACAGGTCCTCAGCAAGCATGACGAATGGGGACAAAGTCACTCGGGGGCAAGAAAGGAGCATGTGCCCAGAGGAGAGACTTATGTGACCAGAGGCCCTGGGGAGCGAGAGGGCTCAAGCAGGCAGAGGTGGGAAGATCGTGGCCATAGAAGTGGGAGGGAAGGGCTGGGTGGAGGCGCTCGGAGCAAGCATGTGCTGGGGCAGCAGGGTCTCCAGTCCCTCCACAGGGCAGGCAAGATAAGCACAGACCCGCCCACTGGGCCTCACTCCCCACCCCTCCACCACCAAGAACCCCCACTTCAGCCTGTGACAGCAGCACCAAGTCCCCTGCAGCAGCCCTTCCCCCACCACACCTCCTCCATCCTCTGGGGTGCACCCACCACCCTGCACAAGCCCCCTCCAGGGCACCCATCACTACCCCTTTCCTGGGGACCTCCAACACCTCGACAGCCACAGCCCCTCCACGTGGGGACCACCGCACCTTGGAGACAGCACCTCCCTATCCTTAGCAACCACCAACACTGTGCGCAGCCAGCCAGCCTCCTTCCTCTGTCTCCTCCTCTCTCCACGGAGACCACAATGCCACAGAGGCGGCTCCCTCGCCACGGCAACCACCGTCACTCAGCGCCGCCTGGACAACAGCTCCCTCCACGTGGCCGCCACCAACACAGCCTCAGCGACAGCCCCAGCCTCTCCTCTCCTCTCCAGGGCAGCCACCAGCCCCAGCCAGGACGGAGCAGCTCCTTCTGCCTGCCTGTCTGCCTGCCTGCGGCCTCCTAGTGCCAGACAGCTCTCCCTATGCCTCCAAAATCCAATGACATAGGATCAGGCCCCATATCAATTCCGCTGGCATTTTCCCCTGCTCCCAGCTCACTTCCAGCCCCTCTCTCTACAATGGAAAGACCCCCACCTGAGAGAGACCCCCACCACGTTCTCCCAGGCCTTCCCCTGCAAGCTGGCTGTCCACCCCCAGCAGGTGTACAGATGCCCCCTGCCCTTCTGGGGTGCAGACTAGGCCTGGCTTAGCCTCTCTGCCGGGTGATGGGGCAGGAGCTGGGGTCCCTGAGCCAATAGGGGCTTCCTGCCCACCCTCCCCGGTGGGCCTGTCTTAGCCCCCAACAGGCCTGCCATTCTGGAGGCTGCCTCACAGGCCCTATGGAAGGAAAGCTGGGTGGGAGGGGTGCCCACGGCTGGGGGCAGGGGCTGGGCCCGCAGGAAGGAACACACAGAAGCCTGAGGCTGGGCCACATCACAGGTTTGCAAGGCCGGGTCATGTGAGCTATGCTCACAGACAGCAACACACACACAGGCAAAAGGACCCTGTCCTTACCAGATGTCTGCAGCAGAGGAGGCCCCTCCGGCACTGTCCCCGACCTGGGTCTCAGAAAGGTCCCCCAGGCAGCAGCGGCAGCAGGAGCAATGAGATCTCAGGTCCTGGCCCAGCCCGGGTGGCAGCAGCTCCTCACCCAGGTCCTCTCCTTCTGCAGGGAGGCGAGGGGGAGAGAGGGGAGGGAGGGAAGAGAAGGGGAGGAGAGGGAGGGGGGACAGCAGGAGGGAGGGAGGAGGGAAAAATGCTGAAGTCTTGAAGGGTACACTCACTTCTTTCTTGGGTTTCCCATGGCAACCGAATATACCACAAATGAATATCAGGGTGAGACAGAGAGAGGAGGTAAAGGGAGAGGAAGAATGGAGGGAGATGGAAGAGAGATGGAGAGAGACAGAGATAGAGAGATGGGGGAGACTGGGTGGGGAGAGATGGAGAGATGCAGAGAGAGATGGAGGCAGAGACGTGAAGGCACAGAGATGGAGAGATGGTGCAGGGAGAGGAGAAGAGATGGAGGTAGAGACAGAAGGATGATGAGGCAGGAGGGATGGAGGGCTGAGGCTTCCCATCATAACCCATGGGCTCAGGGGTCAGGGGAGAGGTCAGGGGCCACAGGGGCTCTTCAAGCCGCTGGGCAGAAGGAGCACGCACAGATGAGTGAGTTTTCTGGGAACCAGGGGGCCCCTACTCCCACCCCTCCACCTTGTCCCACACTCCCTACTGGGCTCCACAGCCTGGAGGTGCCTTCCAAGTCACATCCCAGACTCACACCCCACTCACAGCCACGGTCACACACGTCACACCCACGTGTGTATGCACACACACTCTCACACTCCCCTGACACCCAGTGCCCCCACACAGCCTTCGCCTCCTCCATGCCCAACCACTCCACTCTCCTGTTGGTCACTTGGATCATCAACACCGCCCAACCCCATCATCAGCCGGGCCCCAGGGAACAAAGATACCCTCGCCCTCGGCACACCCTCTTCTCTTCAGAACTCTGCCAGGACTGGCACACGCCTTCCCCGATGTGCCCAGCCTGTGCCCAGCCAGGTGTAATGCCTCTGGCCCACCTTCCCGCCATATGGGCTCACACACAGCCTAAGAGCACAGTACCTGGCTGACCTCCACCTGCACAGACAGGCGCTCCCAGACAGATGGGCCTCGGAGGAACCTCGCCTCCATCTGCGCAAACACGTGCACGCAGACACTCAGCCCTTCCCGAGGAGGCCCCTCTCCCGGTCCGGCCCCGCACCCCACCAGCCCAGATGGTACTCTTGGCCCTCCCCCGCAGGCAGGGGCTCACACCTCAGCCCCCTCGGCATTGCCATTCACAAACATAGACCCACCAAGTGCTGGCAGCCAGCGGCGCCCGACGGAAAATAAACACACACTCGGGCCTCCCTTCCCCCACCCCCTACACTGCCTCAACTCCCTCACCCCTACCCAAAGGCAGAGAGAACTAGCAGGGCCGGCTTTCTCCAGGAAAGGCTCCCAGGCCTAGCTGGGAGCACACAATTGACCCTGAGCCCCTCAGCCAGCAGGGATGGGAAAGCACCCCAGAGGCACACGCTATACCCAAACACACACACACACACACACACACACACACACACACCCCAGTCCTCCCGGAGCACACCCAGAGAGAATCCACACAGGACAACTTCCCAGGGCCTCAGAGAAACGCACATCCCAGACCCAGACACCTGCCTGCCTAGAGACCAAGGTTCACTGCACACGGCTGAACCAGAACACAGGGGCGCCCCACACAGACACACTCCCCTACGCGCAGGCCCACGCTGGTGCCAAAATGCATGGGGCCACTGCACAGACGCACGAATCAGGGGCACCATGGACTGCCCCACCCCAGGCTCACCAAACACACCCAGAAAAACGTGCCCAGGGGCACAGGGCCCCCAACATAGACACACGCCAAAACATACATGCCCCAAGCATGCCCACACACAGGGAACCACTCCCGGACACACGTGCCAATGCACATGTGCCAACACACCCCCAGCCAGCCACGCCTGCACGCCACAGCGCTCCCAGGGCAGTTCACGCGGCGCTTCCCCATGCCGTCCACACCCACCTGGCACACACAGCCCCTCACCAGCAACTCTCCGGGTCCCGGCTCCGGTCTCCCCCTGTACCCCTGCCCAGCGCGGCCGGCCCCGCCGCCAGCCCCCACCCCTGCCGACCGCTTTCGGATCCCGGGCACCTAGCAGAGCCCAGAGGCTGCGAAATTGGTTGCGAGCGTCAGGGGTTGCGGATGCAAATTCTAAACACAGGCAAGTAAGGCGGAAAGCCCGGCCGGCCGGGCCAGCCGGGCGCAAGTTCCGGAGGCCGGCGGGGCGGGCCGCGGGGAACGGGGAGCCTCGAAGAGCAGCGGACTGCGGAGGACGGTGCAGGGGTGGCGAGCGCGGCGGGGTCGGGGGGCGGGGTGGCGGTGCGGCCCCGGCGGGGCTGTGAGCGAGCGCTCCCGTCCCCACCACGCCAGGTCCGCGGCAGTTCCCGCCCGCCCCCTCCTCCGGCCAAGCCGCCATCGCGCACCTGCCGCGTACGCCCCCAGGACGGACAAGCCCCGCCGCCCGCCAGACCCAGGTCTGCCTCCGCCAAGTGGACGGACCGTATCGAGCCACCGCTACGCGGCTGTGCGTCGCCTCTTCCAGGACGTCTTCTCTGCTCTCCGCCCTCTTCGCCGCTTCTCTGCCCTCACCTCCACCTCCGCCTCTGGCCTCTGCTCACGTGCACAGCCGCAAGCTCAGCTCCACCAGCGCCCTCTCTCCACAGGAAGGGAGACGGAGGGCTTTCGCCCTGTTCAAGGTGCTGGGACAGGCCCGCTCCAGCCCCACTTCATCCGGACCGCACTTCAGGCTGCTAACGTGCCTAGCTTTAGCAACTGTGCAGCCTCGAACCCGTGACCGCACACTCTGCCTCCAATTCCTCATCTGTGCAACAGGAATGATGCAGAGGGGCGTTCTGAGGATTTAATGAGGGACTCCTTAAACAGGCTTAGAGCAGCAGGCAACGAACACGGAAGATGATTAGCCAGTATTATCAGTCAGTATGGGCCCCTGTCTTGCTGCTGTGGCACCGAAGGTTAGGCACTTCTCTGAGCTCAAGCTCCTCCTCTGGAAAATGAGGATGGCTTTGCTGGCTCCGGAGGATTCTGGGAGGAGTCTCAGAGACCCCGAGGAACATGCAGCTGCCATCCAACCAACAAATGTGAGTGAATTAATCTTCGGGAAAGCATTACAATTGCAGGTTCCTGGGCCCCTCGTCCGCTCTCCCAATCAAAATCTCAGTGGACAGGGCCCAAGAATCTGCATTTTAACGAACACCCAGAGACTCTAATGCTCCCTGACAAAAAAGATATTACTCAATTTCTTGGTGCAGCATGGATGGTCCCGTGTGGTTGATCCTCAAACTACACGTCCAGACTCATTTTCTCAAAATCCACTCTGGGCTTCCCCACCTCCGGGACCCTACTCACACGGTCACTCCATCTGGCACGCCCCCACCCAGGGGCAGGCAAGACCTCTTTCACAATCCTCCAGCCAAAATTAAACAAGATAACAGAGAGTGCCTTACTCGATGCCTGGCACATAGCAGGTGCACAACTGAGGGAATTCTGCAGACCCCAGAGCAGAAGTCGGCACAACCTCTCCAGACCTGCCCGGGAGGCTCACTCCGGACCTGGTCACCAGCCTGCAGCAGCAACCCCCTCTCGGTCAGGTCACAGAGGGACAAGAATCACCTGTCAAGCAAGCCCTACTGTGGGCAGACCCCTTGCGGGACACTTGTCAGAGGTTCCCATGTCTCACCTCTCCTCCAGGGCCCTGAGCTCTGCCAGGCAGGGGCTCCTCTCTGGGGGTTCCTGCCTGAGCCCCGGGGCCCAGCATTTCTCCCTGGGTGAAACATGCTAATAAGGGTGTGTGTGCATACACCGTCTGAATGCAAAATGCAGCGATCCGTCCTTGGTAGCATGTAGATGAAAGGAATTTGTTTAATAAGTATTTTTTGAGGGCCTACCAGTCTCCGCCTGCGCAGAGCTGACATGCAGTGGGAGAAATAGACAGGAAATAGGCAGATGTAGGAAATCCCCTGGGGGAATGAGAAGGGCCAGGAAGGGAGGGAGGCAGGTAGGTTGACCCCACAGCCTCTGTCTCTCCAAGATTCAGGGACAATTGTAGGGGGAGAGGGATAATAGACAGGCCAAGGAGGGAAACTGAGTCAGGCCTGAGTCTTGGGACTAGGCCCACGGCAGGCTGGTCAGGCAGCCCTTGGGATTCAATCCCTACTTCCCCCTGAGAGAGGTGGGGACCAGTGTATACAAACAGTCACGCACACACAGACATGCGAAGATACAGCCTGCCCCTCCTGGCCCCAATGCACACTCCAGCTGTGGGTGGGGGGTGCGGGCTGGCAGCACCCAGGCTCTTCTCATGCGTCCTTAGGCTCCCCCCAGCAGTTCCCATGCACTTTAGAGGGTGAAAAGCAGAGAGCGAAAAGGGTAGGAAGGAAGCAGACACATGTACACACGGTACAGACCCCCTCCAGGAAGCCAAGAATGAATGGAGGGGGCAGATGGGAAGGGGGAGGAAAATAATGGCATCCCGCATGCCAGGGGATGTTATACCCGTGCTCTTCTCTTACCTAACCTTTAGCACGACCTTTAGGACAATCCAGAAGGGTTAAGAATTCGTTTTTTGTTTTTTGGTTGTTTTGTGGTTGTTGTTGTTGTTGTTGTTTTGGCCAGGGACGGTGGCTCACACCTGTAATCCCAGCACTTTGGGAGGCTGAGGAGGGAGGATCACGAGGTCAGGAGTTCGAGACCAGCCTGACCAACATAGTGAAACCTTGTCTCTACTAAAAAAACGAAAATTAGCCGAGTGTGGTGGTGCGTGCCTATAATCCCAGCTACTGGGGAGGTTTTTTTTGAGGCAGAGCCTCACTCTGTCACCCTGGATGGAGTGCAGTGGCACAATCTCAGCTCACTGCAACCTTGGCCTTCTGGGTTCAAGCGATTCTCCTGCCTCAACCTCCTGAGTAGCTGGGATTACAGGCATGCACCATGACGCCCGAATAATTTTTTGTATTTTTAGTAGAGATGGGGTTTCACCGTGTTGGCCAGGCTGGTCTCGAACTCTGACCTCAGGTGATCCTTCTGCTTGGCCTCCCAAAGTGCTAGGATTACAGGTGTGAGCCACCACGCCCAGCCAAGAATTGGGTACTTTTGTCCCCACTTCACATTGAGGAAACTGAGCCTCGGGGACAGGAAGTGACTTGCTCAGGTCACACACCGAGGAGGAAAAGAGGTCAGATTTGGAGCCCTGGAGAAAGCCTGGGCCCCTGCCCTTTCCACAGGCAAGATGGTCAGGAAGTGGGGAGTCCAGGGGGCCACAGCTGAGGCTGCAATAGACTCGGGACCTGAGGAAGATACTGACGCTGCGGCAGCCTCCCCACCATCACCCGGGGGAGCCCTCCAAGCGCTGCTGTTCGAGGCACTGTGGGAGGGCCAGGGAGCGAGGGGCTGCCTTTGGGGGTGTCCCATCACTGTGGGAGAGGGGCGCAGGAGGAATGGGATGGCGGGATTAAGATGCAGGCATCACCCACGAGGCCCCTCCTTTCCTGTCTCTTCTTGCAGCCAAAGCAAAGGGCATCCCCCGCCCCTGCTTCCCTAGGGCAGGGTCACTGGACCCATTTACAGGTAAGCAAAGCAAGGCCCAGAAAGGGCCTTCAGTGAGAGGGGTATGCCAAGATGTAGAGGCCTCCAGGCCCACCTGGCAAAGGAGTTCGGCCGCCAGTGGTGCTGATATGAGAGTCTCCCTTCAGGGTTCCAGTCCTGGTTCCATCGCTGTGTGGCCCTGGACTGGTCTGTAACCTCTCTGTTCTTGTCTTCAAAATGAGGAATAATAATAGCGCCTACCGCAGCTGGCTTTTGTGGGACTAAACGAATGCCGCCCACAAAGAGCTTCAAACTGGGCCTGGCTCTCAGTAGGGGCTCAATAATATTAGCTGATGTCATTATTATTATTATCACTATAATTATTACTATTTCAATCAGCAGCATCGTGCAGCCAGCACCCTTCCTCTGGCACCCCAGGCATAAGCAAGCCTGCCCAGGTGGCTCTTCAGTCCTCAGGGCTTCTCTGGGGCTTTCCTGGGGACTGTCTGCAGAGCTTGGGGGAAGGAGAGGGGCCTTAATTATTCCAACCCCCAGACACCATCTCCAGTAATAATGTCAATGCCTCTGCCCCAGGTGGTAATTGAGCCAAGAGAAGGTTAATTTAATCAGGGATTGGACTGGGACGGCAGGAGGCAGAGGATTGGGTTAACCTTCTAGACTATTAACACAGCTCCTAAACAGGTCTGACTTGCTAAGAAGGCTCAGGCTTCAAGGCAATCCTACTTCTCGGCCATCCACTCCACACAGCACACGTCACAACACAGGGCGGGTGGCGGCACCAAGAGAGAGGAGCTTGGCCCCCAGGCACTGTGGCGGGAGCAAGTGAGGGTAAGCAGCGACGTGTGCCTCCCAGCCCCGCACGCGGTTGTCACACTTTCACAGTCACTCATCACACCCGCAAGGGAAGCTGCCAACGCCCTCTTACCGAGACAGGAAAGGCTGACCCCTGTCACGCACAGCCAGGATGCAGATGTGGCAGGGGTGTCACTGGAATCCAGTTCTGCCGCCAAAAACAGGCATCTTACAAGACCTCAGGGAACACTGAGGAACAGGCATGGAGCCCCCAGTGACCGCCCCAGACGTGCCCCTCTGGAGAAGGCTTGCTGGGTGTGCCCGTTTCTATCACCCTGACTATTTCTGGAGCTTGTGGGTGGAAGAGCAAAAGAGCACTGACCTGCGAGTCAAGAGCAGCCTCTCCTCGAGCCAGAGACCTCTTGGCCTTGGGCTCATCACCTGGCACCCCACCCCCAATTCCTCATAGCTCCATATCTCTCCATGAAATGAAGGTACCCCTTGAGAAGGGACTGGCTAATCAATTGTGTCTCCCTGCAGCCACTGAAGGGGCGGGGTGGGGGGTGGGAATTTACATTAATCAACAGACAGCTTATTCCAGAACTCAGTTTACTCATCTGTCAAATATCCACATAACAGCAGCCAACTCACCCACCTCAAAGGACTGTCGTGGAAATCCAAGGAAAGAAAAGAAAATCCTTTGCAAAGTTAGACTTAAACCAAAACAGGAAAGCAGCTACTCTGGGCTGAGGGGATAGCAGGTGAGAGGACAGAGCTCACGTGGACTGAGTCCCCACCATATGCCAGGCACCAGCACCCGCCCCCCACAAGGCCCATGGTCTCCTTAACCCCCATTCACCTCTCTAACCCCCCACCCCATGTTACAGAGGAGACACTGAGGATCAGAGAGGCGACGTGAATGCTTAAATCACAAAACACAGAAAGTAGCAAAATGGGATTCAAACCAATGGTTTCAGGCTCCCTGGCTATGGCCATTTTCTACTGTCACATGCACCGACACACTCACATACACACTCATTAAAGCACATGCACCCAGAGGTGGTGGGCTGGCTGGGATGAAGAGGAAAACAGGGACTGGGGGGGTCAGATGGGGAGGCTGTAGCACGTCAGGGCAGGTGAGGTGCACTATTCAGGGGGCAGGACTTAAGAAAAAGGGTCCTATGCCCACTCAGGACGCTGGGAAAGGGGGCCTCTTGCGAGGGACCACGCATCCTAAGCCTCCATCCCTCTCCCCTTCCCACCCCTCATACACAGGGGACATAACCACACCCGGCTGCACACACTCCCCTAACATCACACTCACACACTCCGGCTGGGGAGAGCGACCCCCGACAAAACTGTCCGGCTGATGTCACCTGCGGCCTGGAGCTTATGTCACACCTGAGGTTCTCACTGACGTCACATACATACTTTTTCCTGATGTCCCCACAATTAACCCTCTTTCTTCCTGCCTAGGAGTTGATGGCTCAGAGGTACCCACCTCCCCACCCACACAGCTGCAGGGCCCCCGGCTCATCAGGACAGCACCTGCCTGTGCACCCCTCTCACGGGACACACATTTGCACACATGTGAATACCCACATGCTTTGCTGATGGCCCAGACGTGACACGTCCCACAGGTGTCCACGGGCCACGAGAAGAGGGGTGTCAACCGTGCACATACACATACACACACGCACACATTCCCAGTCCCGTCTCGTGATGCAGCTTGCATATTAAAACGCCCCTCAGTAACTGCGCCGGGCAGTCCGTGCCCCACAGCTTCCACCACATTCCTCCAGGTGCTGCCAGCGCCCCCCTCCCTCCAGCTTTCTGCCTCTGACAGCCTGGCCTGCTGACAGCGACAGCCGCAGCCCAAACACACACACACACTCCAGCCCAACACCTGTGTCTCAGCAAGGGACCAAGGCAGTGCCCTCCACCCAAAGCTGCTGGGTGGGAGGAGTCCAGGGGGAAGGGGCATAGCACAGAGCCCTGAGCTGCAGAAAGTGCCGAGTACCACGTTCCTCCTCAGCTGAGTGCACGGTCAGCACCACTGTCCCCTCGTCTCCCTCCTTGGGCACACCTGACACACCACGGCCTGGTGGCCTCTGTTTTGGACACAAGTTCCCCAAATGTGCATGCGAACACACACACACACACACACACACACACACACACACACCAGCTTTCTTCCCTCCAAACGTTGCGAGGAAATCCTGCCTGGCCACTGACAGTGTGCGTGTGTGCGCTTGTGTGTGTACAGACAGAGAGCAGGGTCCACCCCTTGTCCACACACACACGCACACACCACACACACACAGCACGCACAATCCTCCCCACATGCACACGGCGCCCCACCAGCCAACACACCCACCCGCTCCCCCTCCCCTGACAGCTGCTGGAGCCCACACATGCACACACACACACGCTGGCACGAGCACGCGCACACACACACACACACACACACACACAAGGCAATGGCCCCGGCCCTGCCAGAGCTGCAGTCTCTGCGATTTATGCCACCTCCCGGGGCTGCCTCCCTCCTTGTCCCTGGCCAGCGCCTCTGCAAGGGTCCCCACCCCCCAATTCTGGTCTTACCAACCCCACCGCCGTCAAGCCCCACCCTGGCCCCCCTTTCCCTAGAAGACATCCACCCTGTCAACCCCTCTTACCAGCTAGAGGATGGATGCCTTGACCCGACAGCACCCCGTGAAAGAGGGGGATTAGGGCCCCGATTCGAAAAGATGAGGGCAGAGAGGTGCAATGTGGCACCGGCTGGCACAGCATCCACCATCGAGCCTCTGCACCACCCCCAGAAACGCTCTCCTCACCGACCGTCCGCGGTGTCCTCCCACCGCCTCCGCCCACCGCCACCACCACCTCCCTCGCGCAGGGTGGTCCCCCGGGGGTCTCACGGGGATCCCCAGACCCAGGAGACACTGGAGGTGGCTCTTCCCGTCTCATCCCCCCTTCCGTGCCCCTCTCCAAGCCCCACCCCCACTGACGGAGGGGGTACCCTCCGGCTCCAGCCCTGACTCCCACCGTCTCCCCGGTCGCGGCGCTCGGATCCGGAGGAATTCACTTACCCCAGCCCCAGCCGGGATCCGGGCCAAGCACCGCCTCCGGGAA